TGGCTTTCCCAAGGCAGCCCACGGCGCCGACACGCTGGCTGCTTCCAGCGCTGCCCAGGAGCTCGGCTCCCCGTCTGCCGGGGGTCCTGGTCTCCCGAGAGCCCAGGCTACACGGAGGTCCTTGATCATCAGTCTTTCCCGTTAGTTTGTGCTCCTCTTCCAGAGCGAACCAGCAAGTTGCTTCTGAGCCAAAGCCAAGGCACAGCGCTCAGCACGGCCGGCGCCCAGGGCCGTCCCCAGAAGAAGTCCTGTCCTGCTGCCCTGCAGGACGTCCCCTCTTCAAAGCCTTCCTCCCTAGACTACGTTGGCCGCGTCTGTCTGGTTTTACCTCCTGGGATGCAAGTCTTCAGCAAGAAGAGGACAACCCCCATATCCCTCGTTCTGCTATGCCAGCCAGGCATCGCTGCGGATACATGCTGCTTGGGTAGGGCCTGCAAGCCAGAAGCTCCATCTTCAGCTTATCGCATTTGCACCTTCTGCAGGGACGCGGGCAGGGGAAAGGCCTGGCCTGAGGCTGCAGAGCTCACCCCGGTGGACACAGAACAGCTATCCGGGACAGCAGCTTAAAAGGGGCATTCAGAAAGCACATGGAGAAGTTTGAGGCATCCCAAAAGGACTCTGCTCTTGCTTTGTATGCCAGCAACACTGTGATGGCTCCACTTGCCCTGTCCCACCTTGGCTTTGGATAGTGCCCTGTACCTCCTCCTCCATCACACAGAGATATACGTGCTTCCCCCATCGATAATGACGGTTTTGCACTCAAGAGACCGTTGGCCAAACCACAAATGATGTTTAATGGCAACATGAAGCCCTCTCTAAAGCATCAAACCAGTATTACTGACTCTTGTTGTCGTGCCCAGAGGAATCAGGCTTGGCACGGTGGGTTGGCTGGAGAGGGCAAGCATGGGGCAGCGCTGGCCGGCACAGCGTGGACCGGCCTCGGCATGGTCTCCTTTTCCCATCCCCAAACCCATGAGTGTGACGGCAGTGCCCTCGCAGCTTGCACCCAGGCACTGCTTCCTCCTAATAATGCCGTGCTCAACTATTGCGCGTAGACCTTCTCCAGTAAGACGCTAAATATTTGAAACTTCTCTGGAAGTGAAGACCACTGGATAAAAATACATGGATAAATTGGTTAGGAACACAGTATGTTGGTGCATTGGATGTCCCAGTACGCAAACTGGCAGCCCGCTGGCGGGGTCAATACTTTCTGGAAAGATTTAGGACTGTACAAGCTACTGTTCTTGATCAGGCAACAATATCAGCTCTGTCAAGGAAGAAACAGAAGCCTTTGCATTAGGCAAGAACAAGACAACCCGTTGCCATGGGATGTTTTCTGGTAACCTTGAGAAGCGAAAAGATGGCTTACTGCCTACAGCCAGCGGGTCAGCATCCCACAGAGGCAGATTTGTTTCAAGCTTGGAGATTTTTTTAGTATTCCCTTGTGCCATGAGTCCTAGAGTGCAAGGTCCAGCACATGAAAACCCCATTCATCAATGACACCGCTTCTACACGGCGTATTGCCTCCAGGAAGTTTTATTTCCTGAAAATGTGGTGATATAATTAGGTGTCTATATTCTCCATGGTACTTTCTGCTGGTGCGTTTCATCCCACTATGAGAAATACTCTGTAATCTTTCCTTGACTATGTGAAATTAATTTAATTGTTTTTAAAAGCTGGTAAAAAAAGGTTTCCTGACATTTATATATTTTGCTTAATGCTTAGCAGCCGGCGTTCTGGGTTTCTGTGAGGGAGGGGAAATAAGGGAAATATTTGTTCTTGACTTGGTTGGGATCCATGATTTATACACTCACTCGTGCTAGAAACATTATTTCTGTGACCGCTTTCATTATTTTATGTGCTCTTCCTTTCTTTACGATTTACGACCACGCAGTCGTTCTTTACTACTGCTGCTGCTACAGGACATAAAGAGCGAAGCAGCGGGCAAGAGCCCAGATTTTAAATCTGACGCGTTTGCACGGCCCCAGCAGCACCAGGGAGGGACCGGCTGCTGCAGCTCGGAAGGTGAGAATTAGACGGGAACACCCTGCTTCCCACGGCTTTGCTTTAAGCACAGAGCCGTTACTGCGCAGCGGTGATCTCCAGCCAGCAGAACGGTCCACAGGTAAACATCCCACCTTTTCCTCGATACAAACAGTCTGGTACTAAACATCAGCCACCGCAGGGTTCACCGTGACGCCTGGTCCGTTGCTATACAAGGGCGCAAAATTATGTAGTAGCATTTACTGAATTTACATGAGTTAAAAATTCTCGTAAGACTGTAAAATACAACTGAAGTTCATCTAAAAATTTTATGAAAAATCTATAGAACAGAGCTCTGGAGCTCATCATTTTAAGCACTGCCTCAATGAAAACCTATTTCAGCACAGGAAGACTAGGGGTGGGCAGCGGCATAACAATTTTCAAGCTTGAACAAGTCAGGACCTTTCCAAAACAAAAAAAGAAAATCGGCATCGCCGCTGGCCAGAGCAGGGGACCATCCGGCCATCCTCCAAACTGGAATGGGGAGTGCTCCCCGTCCCTTCTTTCTGCATTCGTGTAATTGCTGAAGAATGAATTTCCCGAGGCTTGTGGTTCAGTGGGATTGCTTTCACATCATTGACGTTTTCAACATCTTTAAGACAAATACGAGTAACTGAGCGAAGTCAGCAGGTCCCACAGCTCCCAGTTAACCAGGTATCCTGGTTGTGCTCAAGACTCACCGCTGCCATTGCCCAATTAATTAGTCAATTGGTGTTGAGCACAATCCTGTTTTAGTAAAACTAGACGAGCCTCCACTGAGCATAGGGAGGACAGAGCCTACCAGTACAGGCTTGGGTTGGAAGCTACAGCCACGCTCCTCTGCATCGGGGAAGGCAAGCTGGCCAAGGTCGCAGCAGCCATCAGGCCTCCCGGTAAGCTAAAGCTGAGGAAAGGCGAGTTGTCAGGCTTAGACCTCCACCAACCTGAGTCTACGCTCTCCTGGGGACAGTATTTGTGTTTGATTCTAACACACCCCAACCAGCTGATTTTTGTTAATAGTTTCTTTGAGGTCAGTGCATAAAAGACCACCAAGTTCAGGTCCGTTCAATCTGCCAGCCGACTGCAGAGTAGCTACACCATCTCTATGCAGCAGCAGGTATCAGAGTAACTTTTATAACAGCAATTTTTTTGTTGCTTCTGGAATTTGTGAATAGATGATTTTTGAGCTTTTGGATAAACTCTGCTACCACTGAAATCAGGTAAGGCTTACTGATGGTTTCAGCGGGAACAGAAGTTGACTAAGACAAGTGCGTTTTCAAATCCAGCCCCAAATGCTCAATCTACAATGGTCGTTTCTTCCACTGATTTCACTGAATAAAATTCACTCCCTGTTACGCCGTTGGGTTCAACAAAGCTTTTCTGATTTTCTCCAGCATTGAAGACGTGGCCTACTGCTGTCATTTTGTCACATACAGGACTATCCCATCACTCAGCAATAACAAGAAGGTCAACGTTCATGGTGCGGTTATAAATGTATTTGGGTTTACAAGTGAAGTGTCCTGTGAAGAAGCAACTCCATGATGCAGAGCGAAGAGCAAGCCCAGTCCCAAAACTTACACAGGAGCCGGCAGTTTCAGTCATCCAGCTGTCCACATGCATGCTCTGAGAGTCTCCAAAACACTCCCCTCTATCTTACCTGCCATGAAGCTTCTGTCCAAGTCAGAGCAGACGGTCTCAGAAGAAGATGAACGGCCGCCTTTCAAGAGAGTGTCTCTCGTGGCACTGGGGGCACCAGTGGGTCTGAACGGCCGGGGTGCCTGGGGCTCCCACCCCCCCACCGCTGCCCGCGGCCCAGGAGCTCAGCCCCAGCTCCCGCCCTGGCCAGAGCTGGGTCTACGTGGTAGCTCTGCTTCTGCCCAAGGGACTTGCCAGGCCGGGCCGGGCCTGCCTCACCACCTCTCCGCATCTGACGACCACCAGGCCATCACCAGAACCTGTTACTGTCACCAGACTGTCCCTATTTGGGCTGATCTGACCAAAACACTCGAGCAGCTGCTGACACAGTGAGTACAATCTCGGGCGGTGTCTGTGTGGCCCATCGCCATTTCACCCGGCGCACCCAGTGCTCCACGTCGACAAACTGCCCCAACAGCAGAGCTGCCTCGTTCCACGAGCAGCTACTTCTGCGGCGCCTGCACGCTGACGAGGACAACCAAGACTCGCCTGTGCTTTTTATGCTCCAAAGCAAACCACGGCTCCATGGATCAAGCAGTAAAATAAAAATAATGATCCTCTTGTGTGACAATTTTACAGAGAACTCCAGCACATCTACTTTGAAGCTAAAAGTCATGCTTAACATAAAGACGCTTTTCTGACGAAATTCAAGAGGCAACCATCTTTTGGACAAAATGTATTAAGTCTTCAACTCCTTGTTAATTAGCTCAGCTTGAAGACTCGCGCGCAGATGAAGCTACGTCCCTGCCAACGGCTAAACTACCGAGTGCACGGATTTGCCACATTTTCATGCTGCGTGATATATACTCCACAACTAGCGAGTCTCACTGACCTAAGCGTAATTATTTGCAAATATAACACTACTGAATTAAATAAGGGCAAAAATCCGATTCTAACCTAACAAGTCATACTTTTACAACCAGGAACAAGCAATTAAGTTACATGGGAGAACAGACAAAATAGGAAAATTCCGACACAGTGGTTAGGGAAAACAGCATTTGAAATTGGCAATTATTTTAATTACAGCTATTGAAGATGTGCTACTCTTGGAGAGATACTATTTCTTCTTTTTTACTTTTCTCATCTTGAAATGTAGATAGCATTTAGTCGCATTGATATGCAACGGACAAAGAAACATTATTGCATCAAAAACATACAGAAGTTTAACTCAAGCTGTAGAAGTGCATGAATTGCATCAGCTAAGATTTGGTCCCAGGGGCGCACAAGCGGTCATTCGACGCACCGGAACGGTCTCCCACGCGCTGTGTGTGTGCATGGAGCTGTCAGAGCTGACTCAGTTGTCTTCTCATAACTGCAGCAATCCCGCTCCTGGGCTCATTCAGCGAAGCCGCCCTTCCTCTTGGCGGGTGTGGGGGGGTTAGGGCCGGCAAGCCCACGCTGCCGCTGCGCTTGCTGGAGGGGGCTGCCTTAGCAGCTCTTGAAATAGCAAACTGTCCGGAGAGATTGATGTCCTGCCCAGCACCGGGGCTCGTGCGGCTCTTCTGTCCGTAATCGGCGAGCAGGGCAGCAGAGGAGGTTAGGCTGCCCTGAGCCAGGGAACACGGCGATAACAGGAAGTTACCACTGAGCTTTTTTAGTTCCAGTACTTGTTCCCTGGCTTGAGTCAAAGCTGCAGTCAGCTCATAGCGTTCCTCGCACTCTCTGCGCACCGTCTCCTGGAGGAGAGTGTTCTGCAAACAGAAACAAACGCTGGCTTTACAAAATGCCGGTAATCAAAAATAATCAAAAAGCGTGCCTACTAAACTCCTCAGGCTTAAGGCAGGGGTGGCTGGAGGGTACTGGTGCATACAAACCCTTCAATACTTCCCCGTATTTTGGCTTCTCTGAAAGTCGCTCGAAGGAGATACATCAGCATTTACACACCCTTCGCTCCCTCAGGAGACAGTGGAAAATACGAGCTAAAATAATCAGAAGTTACTTCTGATCTCCTGCCCGTCCTCCAGCTAGGGGGAAACTGGGAATGCCGCTCTTGGAAAGGAAAAAGCAACGTATACAGTTTGAGTATCACTGTGCCGCTTCATTATGGTAAGATGTTCAAGAAGTTCTCCTCCTCTGTAGTTTACATTATTGTGCACTGATTTTTTGTGACGGCATTCTTTATTGATTATTATTTCCCAAAATTGGGAATTGGGATAAATGATATTCAGTCTAGTTGTTTTCACAAACTTTGCACTGTGATTCCTGATACCTAAATGGCACTGAGCCTTGAGCAGACAACTGAAACTGTTTCTCTATTACGGAAGTCCCCAAGTTAGTGTATTATGTAGAAGTTATTTGTGATGCTCATTTCCCTGGCTTCCAGCTGAAACAAAAAGTAAATAAAACACAGGGACAACATCACTACATTGACTCGTAGAAGTCAGAACTACTGAAAGTACTAATACAAGCAGAAAATACCCACTTTTTCGTTCTTTTAAGCAAACAATTGCTGCTGACACCAGGAGGTCCATGAGAACGGAAGGGAAGCAACCCCCAAGGCAGCCTCCGACACAGAGAGCGATGATCGAGTCAAACGCAGGACGCTCTCAGTCATGCACAACCTCACTGCCCAGACACAGACTGTTCTACGTGAACCCCTTCAGTGCTAAAAGTATGAGCTGTATGCTGGGTCGGGTCACGTATCAGCTTGAAGTGAGGACAAACATTTGTATTTGAAATTCTCTATGTGATTATGACAGTGGGTGTCTACAGGGAAGAAAATGTGTAAGAAAGATAATCTCAATAACACTTCTTTGATGTTTTGAAGAGCGAATACTGGTATCAGTAAGTCAGAGCACAGAAGTGTGTTCCCACTGAAGTGGAAGGTGGTAAGCTCTGTTTAGCCAGGAAGAGGTTACTAAAAACTAGTGTGTGCCCATCAAAACTTCAAAAATGATGGCGAAATGAAAAGTCCTTTGTTGACCAATTTTTTTTAAGATTTTAAAATTTTACTTTGGTCAAAGCATCTGTAGTGGATGTAGAGTGGAAACACAGAAGTTCTGCTCACGCTGTCTAACCTCTGAGCCAACTGCAAGTGAAGCTGTTGGAGAAGGAACATAACTACATGCAGAGGCAGAAGTGGGAGAGATGCAAATATCCAAAATAACTTATTCTCCGAATACCTAACTCTGCAGACAACTTAATGAAAGAAAGTCAGACGTGACCTTCCCCGCCACGCAGATGGGCGCCGATAGTCCCTGAGACTATTTGGCAAGTGCTACTTGCAAATCTGAGAAAGTTACCTGGTGCAAAGTTTATCTTAAAACCAGTTTCAGTTTTCAACCACTCTTATCCCCCTATTTCCTAACAGTTGTATTAGAGGAGAAACTCTGCTTAGAGTGGGTAAAACTAAAAGCATAAGCAGAGTCGGTGGAATCTCACGCTTGAGGATAACAGTGCGTTCCTCACTCTGCTGAAGCTCCTGACCAATACTTGAAGAGTGCGTGTCTTTCCGAGAGCCTTTTCCATCGGTACAGGGCAAAACAACTGCCAACATCATTCTAATTTCACTGACACAGTGTTTCTGAACCTTTTTCAAGGAAGGAATAAACATCAACCCAAGTCCTAATTCATCTTGAAGAGTTTTGTTTTCACTGTTTACCAATCTTTTTCTGCCACTTAATTACTTCGGACATTCCAGTCTAATCTTATCTACAGTCCCTGACTTCACTGTTTTCACATTTCTCACGGAGCAGTACAGCTCTCCCTCCTCCCTGCCCATTATATTCCAAATATTCAGCAAATGCTTCTGGTAAGAATATCCATCAGTCAAATTTCTCTCCACATTTGATTAATTTTTACGCATTCCTGTGCTACAGAAAGCAGGTTTACTGGTGGGAGGTGGGACACATCCCCATTGGCACGGCAGGATGCACACACATACTCCCACATTAAAAGATGTGATCTCTGCCCAGAAGCCATTCGGAACAGGACTGCGTCCACTCTCGGTCCCATTGACGGTGTGAAGTACTTTCTTACAAATTATTTCCAAAACAAGTAAGATTACTGGGAGGATTGCTGCTCTCTGGTTCAAAGAACGAGAAATGTCCATGTCTTCTACTTTAAAAACATGAAGAATGCTTTATTGTTTACTCATGTTTATGTAGCATGATGTGAGGCTAAAGACTGAGAAATAAATGTCTTGTGGGACCTGAAAAATATATATACTTATAAAGTAAAACACTAGTTTAAGTGCTTGCTGAATTAAAAAAATCACGTATTTTGTGATATATTGTATTTATGAAACTATGATGGACTTGTTTTATAAATCTTTTCATTTCAATGTTTTTTAATAGATGCTTTGGATGATATTAGAAATCACATGTCTCTAACCAAAAATAGCAAGGCATTTCCTCGGTCATGTTCCTACCTCCTCTTGAACTTGACTCAAGTTGTGAATCAGCTGTGTCCTCTCCTGGGTTAATTTTTCCAGTTCATCTGACTTGTGTTTAATTTCTTTCCTCATATTATCCAGAACTGATTCATTATTGTTCTTTTCCATTGTCAGCTGAAATTCAAGTTCAGTAATCAGTCTTTTAAGGCTCTGAATTTCTTTTTCCTTTTCTTCATCTTTCTCTGCAAGTTTGATCTGGGCATCTTGTAGCTTCTTTTCAAGAATTTCTGTCTCCATCCTTAAGCTATTGGTGGCACTGGATATTAAACCCGGTATCTGCATTAGATTAGACAAAAATTGCATTAGTCTACATTCGGTGGATATCTTTAGATACGTAGATTTAAGTATTGAGACAAATGTTGACTTCAGGAAAAAAAATACAAATGCAAACATACATGTCCTCAGAGACAAAAAAAAATGCTCTGAATTTATGTAATACCCTCAAAGGATATGAGAGAGCTGTAAACTAATCAACACTCACTCAGAACAGAGAGATTAATTAGTATGTCCAAGATCAAACAGAGAAATAGAGGTAAAAATGGGAAAACGTAACTTCTTTACTGCAAGCCAGTATTTCTTGCGGGTTTTAAAAACATAGTCAAATATTTCTAAAGTGAACTAAGCCAGACTATTATTTTCAGCTCTTTCAAACACTGTGTAATGTAACACACTTTAAACAACAAAATGTCATCAAATTCCTTTGATTTTTTCCAGAATTCTCAAGACATGTGTCAACTCTTTTGAAAGCTAGTGTTATAGGTACAATTTGCAATTTCCATATAAAACTTCAAGACCTGTACGTCTGGGTAGCTGGGAATAGCCAACTGCGCGCGATGCAACGCCAGTACAGACACGGGAAGCAGTTAACCGGCCACTGGACCTCAGCCCATCGGTGCTGAATTAATTTGGGAAGGGCAAAAAAGACAGTGTGGATGGTTTTGTGACTACTTGTCCTAGTCTGAAACAGTCCAAAGCTTTTAAAAAATGATGATGTCAGTTTAAAAATAATTAACAACTACAGCGTATGGACGTAGATGAACTCTGCGTAAGCAAACGTGAGAAAAGGAAGAACCTCCACACCATTTAACTAGAATAGTTACTTTTTAGCCTGTTTCATTAAAATAAAAAGAAACATATGCCATATACTAAGGCTGGGAAAAACTATTGTATTGTCTAGATACAGGACTACACATAGAGAAGGTTTTATTCCTTCACATACTATTTCTCAGAAGCTGACATTTTCTACTGCCACAAGACTTTTCTCTTGAGTGTTACACACCTTCTTCTGGAGCTCCTCCTGGTCCCTCTGGTATTTTGTGATCAGTTCTTGCTGCTTTTGTCTTTCAATGTCTAGTTCCACTCTCGCTTCTTCCTTGACTTTAAGAATTGCTTCTTTGTGTCGTGCTTCGCCTTTAGCCAGACCAATTTCCATCTGGGGAACAAGCGGGTTTTAACAATAGGTAGCAATCGATCTTAAAATATTTCTCACATTTCCCACTGCCATAAATGAAGCGATGCGAAATTCGGCGGAGCGCGGTTCCGTGCGCTGACCAAACAGAAAACGACGG